TAACTGCTATTGCTATTGCTATTGCTATTTGTTTACTCACAAAATAAACTTGTCTCTACAGCAGAATGCCTCCTGTTTGTTCATAAAACCCCAGTTATTCTCTTTTGACCCACAAACTTGAATCTATTTATGGACATCAAACAAAACTATAATGCGACAAATAACACACTATAACATGACCTTTAGTGGATTACAATCGACTTCATAAGATCTCTGGAAGATTGTTCTGAGTTGCAAGGGATAGAGGTTGGCAATGTGTAAGCTTAGAGAAGAAACATTATTGTAATATTAGAAATGATTATGGTTTTAAATAATATGCTAGAAGTAGAGTTGCTGCTTAATCTTGCTCAATATACAATGGCCTTTTTTACTCAACTAAATATTTTTATTGCTGGTTTAAAATATTAAAGAGTACATTTAATTTCAGCTAGTGGGCTGTAAATGTTATTAACATTACATAGCGTTGGAAGCAGGCTTTGCTTCTGTCCAGTTACACAACAACTGTTTGCGACAATGGGAAGATTTTTGACCCAGAAGGAGGATTCTGAGGTAGAAAATGCAAACTCTACTCCACCATCTAGTTTGAAGAGCTGATTTCTGGATCTAACTCAAATAATAATAATACTAGACTGATCTGTCAATGAAAGAAATTTTTGTCGACTATCAGTGTGGTAGTTAATTTATTGGATTTTAATTTTGAAGTAAAATAATAAACTTTCCTTGATTTTAGAGGCACGGGGATCTTCTAGCTCTAGCATCTTAGGAGATATATTCTCTTCTGGACAGACTTTCTTTATTTGCAACTCCAAGAATTCCCTGATAGCAAGGCAAATGAATGGCTGATTAGGATTACTGAATGTTCTAATCTTCATGTATCTGGAGGCAATCAGGTTGCGAGCTCAAATGTATGAAAAGCTGGGGAGATAGCATTTCTAAAATGGTGACTTGCGGCTGCCATTTAAATATAATGATTTCTTCCTATTTCTCATTTCACCAATCTATTTAATTGGTGAATTTTTAAAAACACTATTTATTCTTCCACTAATTTATTTGATTCCTATTGTGCATATATTTCACACACTATTATGAGAAGGAGGCAAGCATTTTGTCTGGAAAGTCATAACACAAGAATGCGTTATAGGTTGCCATTTACTCATAACAGATGCAGTCTTTGTTTTTGCATTGCTTTCATAAGTGTTTAAAATTAAATGAAGTACTGAATTAAATATGGACTAAGACACATTTCCTTCAGCGCTGTTTTACACTTAATCATTTTCTCCACTTAATGATCCCAATCAACAACTGTCCTCTTAGCCATGAGGGTTTGAATGTATTCATTCAAAGTTGCCAGCTGGCTTATTATTAAGGTATTTGAGAATCCAATAAACATCTGTGGCAAAAACTGTTAGCTCTAGGAATCCTACTGAGCTTTGAAGCTTGTAGAAGAAAAGGCTCTGGTTTGTTAATATATTAAAACAAGCTCAGAATATATGTATGTTATATGTGTATTATTAAGATTGATCAGAGGCAATTTGCAAGACAGATTCGAGTAATTTTAATGCTGTTATTCAATTATGACAAGCATTATAGGCAGTGGTCCAGTTTGTGAAACTTAGAAGGCTTATGTGGATGACTTTTTTGTGTTTGAGATCGTCTGCAGTACATATAAATATGCAGATTTTATAGAAGGAGAGTTCAGCAAATGGAAAGCATTAGCTCATCCTTTTATTTCCCTTGTCTGCAGCCCCTGATAATAGTGCTGGCATCATTCCAAAAACCATTGAAGTTACCCTCTATAAAGAAGGCAATAGTTTTGGATTTGTACTACGAGGTCAGTGCACTTGTAATTAGCAACATGCTGGGCCATTTGAAAACAGGGGAAGAGGAGGAAGTGGGGTGACCAAAGCCATTCTAAGGTGGTTTTCCGAAGGGCATCTTTGGGGAGATGGAAAAATAATCTTCATAAATTGACAGATGGGATATTACCAGGTTTCTCCATATGTTCCAGAAAATGACCCCTAGCCGCTTGCTGATTTAAAAACGTGTTCTCTTTTTACAGAGTTGTTGGATATGTGTCTGTATCAGTCATGAATTATTTTTGCAAATTGCTTACAGGAGGAGCCCACGAAGACTGGCATAAATCCAGGCCATTACTACTGACTTATGTTAGACCAGGTGGTCCAGCAGACAGGTAATGTTCACATCATTCCACATTTAGCTGTGAACCTTAAACAAATGCTTATTTTTCGTACCACCTATACAAACGAACAGTCCCAATAGCTTTGCATCTCTGCATTTGGTCTATTGTCCACTGCTTCTTCCACACAGATTCCCTTTAAGTTCTACTGCACTAGTTCTGGGTAGCCAGAAAAGGTGAACTATGGAAAATACATTTGAAAAATTTAATCAGTGGTAGATCATTTAAAACCAATTGCAGGTTCAGCGTCGCAGTAGTGATGGACTGCAAGGGGCGGGAATGTGTTATAAAAACGTCACTATGAAAATAATGTGCCGTCAAGTTGTTTTCGACTCATAGACACCACATAGATAGATAGATTTTCTCCATGCAGCATAGATATACTAGAATATTAATGAAAAAAGTAACACCGGAAAATAGATGTGGAAGTAATAACATTTGAAAGATAAACAGCTAAAAGAAAGAGTAAAAAAAATACATACCGGTAAGCCCTAATTTTTTTCCCATCATCCTTTTTGTGTCAAGCAAATAACAGATCAGAGAAACCTGAACAAGTGCACAAGGTTTATCAGACTGTCATTCTTTAAAATGAGAAATAATTTTATGCAACCTTTATTAATAAAAATAAATAACAAATCACCAAATTACAAAGCTACTAGTGATCAGATGTGGCTTAGACAAGTGTATCTCAACTTCTCAGCAGAGCTGACTGGGGGATTCTGGGCATTGAAGTACACCCAACTTAAAGTTGCTATGGTTGAGAAACACTGGCTTAGACAGGTAGCTGGACTTACAGGCCTACCCTACCTCTCAAAATTTGCTCCAGGTTTGTTCCCTGGTTGCATAGGTGAGTTTACTGCAGGTTCATTCGAGCAAAGCAGGAACAGGTTTTATCAGTTTTCCTGCTTTATAGGTCAGTCTTATACAATCAAATTAGAATTATCTCAAAATTTACTGTGAGTTTCCCCCCAACAAAGCAGGAACACTCTCCGGATTTGTTCTGTACTTTATCAAAAGTTGCACCCCACACTTGGAAAGCTCCTGGACCCACATGCACATCTTGGAGCAGATGTAGAAACTTTGAAAGTGTTGTTAGTAAATAAAGTTCCCAAATAAGCATTCATCTCAAGAATATTCTGATTCTGTCAGATATGTGTTACTAATGAGTGCCTCTTATCATTTTATGCAGGGAAGGGTCTTTGAAAATTGGGGACCGGCTGTTGAGTGTGGATGGGATTCCTCTTCACGGTGTGAATCATGCTGATGCGCTAAACATTCTGCGTCAGTGCAACCAGGAGGCCCTGTTCCAGATTGAGTATGACGTCTCCATAATGGGTAAAGGCTGTTGGGTTTGATTCCATTCTGAGGAATTTGTTATTTAATGACGTATACACTCTTAAATTGCCCTTGCTTTTAAAGCTGATTACACTTGTTGACCTATGAACTGTAGATGCTGTTTGGAAGGTAAATAGCCTCAATTAAAGACACATCGAAGAAGAAAAATATGACACTTTAGTAATATAAAGTCCACGTCCAATCCACAAGGTAGAGTCCAGGCACAAGTCAAGGGCAATTCTCAGGACAAGAAACAGCCCCCAGAGAAGAAGCAGTTCCAAAAGCACAGTGAAGCAAAGGCCAAATGCAGGCCACAAGAGAAGGGCTAGATCCAAAACCGAATGTGAAGAGCAATCTTTCAAGCAAGGCAAGGCAAACAGCAACAGGCCCGAGTCAAAGCCAGCCAAAGGGAAGTATAAGCCAAAGCAAACAATTGTTCCTGGCAAAGACTAACTCCCCATGGCTTCTCCTTAAGTTACTACCCTCCAGGTGTTCCTTGTGAGGAGGAGTGGAGCAAGCTCCTCCCAAGTAGCCTTGCAGTCCTTCTCTGGGCTTGCCTATGC